CTGGTCTCCACCTCCCCTCGTTCTCTACGAACTTGGTGAGTAACGCTGTCCTCCAGGATGCGGGGGTTGACACCTTCACCCCTGGCCGGCAGCGTGTGGCGATTTGCACGTGCTCCCAGACTGGTCGCCACCTGGCCACGTTCGCTCGTGCGCCGGGGTCCAGTCTGTACACCCTCACCACTGCGTCACGCTCCGCCCCTTTGTCTCCCCAGTTGCACGCGTCTGCTCAGGTAGCTACCCAGTGTGAGTGTCGCCGGCTGTCGCACGACACTCTCCTGTGGCACCACCGCCTTGGTCACCCCTCCCTGCCTCGCCTACACAGCATGCACTCCCGCCTCCTGGTTTCTGGGCTTCCCAGGTCTCTGCCTGCCCTCCCTCCCTCGCCTGCGCCGCCCTGCATTCCCTGCGTTGAGGGGCGGCAGCGCGCCGCTCCTCACTCCTCCTCGTTCCCTCCCACAGAGGCTCCACTGCAGACTCTCCACCTGGACGTGTGGGGCCCAGCCCGCGTCCGTGGACAGGGCCACGAGCGGTACTTCTTGCTGGTTGTCGACGACTACACGCGCTACACCACGGTCTTCCCCTTGCAGCGCAAAGGGGATGTCCCTGATGTTTTGATCCCCTGGATCCGCGCTACTCGTCTCCAGCTCCGCGAGCGGTTCCAGTCGGACTTTCCTGTCCTACGTCTGCACTCTGACAGAGGTGGTGAGTTCTCCTCAGACCTCTTGGCAGCCTTCTGTGCGGAGCACGGCATCCGCCAGACTTTCACGCTTCCGGCCTCTCCTCAGCAGAATGGGGTTGCTGAGCGCCGCATTGGCTTAGTCATGGAGGTCCCTCGTACCTCCATGATCCATGCGGCTGCCCCCCATTTTCTGTGGCCGTTTGCGGTCCGGTACGCCGCGCATCAGCTCAACCTTTGGCCCCGTGTCTCCTTGCCGGAGACCTCGCCCACACTGCTGTGGACGGGGAAGGTTGGCGACGCGTCGCGTTTCCGGGTCTGGGGTGCTCGTGCCTTTGTCCGCGATACCACCGCGGACAAGCTCTCCCCTCGCGCCATTCCTTGCGTCTTCCTTGGCTTTGTCCCTGACGCGCCTGGCTGGCAGTTTTACGACCCCGCCTCGCGCCGTGTCTTTGCGTCTCAGGACGTCACCTTTGACGAGTCGGTCCCCTTTTACCGCCTCTTCCCCTACCGCACTGCTCCTCCCCCCCCCCTCGCCGCTCTTTCTCGCCCCAGGTCCTCCCCAGGTAGACCCCCTCCCCGCGCCAGGTCCTGCTCCTTCAGGTGTCTCTCAGGTAGACCCCCCCGCGCCTGCGCCTGTTGAGGTCACTGGTGACTCCGGTCCTGCTGCGAGTGGTGCTGTCCCTGGGGGTGCGGAGCTTGGGGGTGCTGAGTCTGGGGGCGCTGAGCGTGAGGAGCCTGGGGGTGCTGCGTCTGGAGGTGCTGCGTCTGGGGGTGCTGAGCCTGCGTGTGCAGAGCCTGGGGGTGCTGAGTCTGGGGGTGAGTTGCCTGAGGGTTCTGCGACTGCTTTTCCGCGGTCTCCTTGGAGTAGCCGTCTTCGTCCGCGTGTGCCCCTCACCTCCCAGCAGCTGCACGACTGGTACGGTCGCCGTCAGCGTCGCGCTTCTGCACCTCAGGGCTCTACTGCTGGGGGTTCTTCTGCTGGTGTCGCTGGTCCCGGAGGTGCTCGTACTGAGGGTACTGGAGCTGCTGGGGCTGGCGGTGTTGTGACTGAGGGTATTGGCGCTGCAGAGGGTGCTGGAGCTGCTAGGGGTACTAGAGCTGCTGGAGGTGCTGGCGGTGCAGGAGCTGCTGAGGGTACTGGAGCTACTAGCGGTGCTGGAGCTGCTGAGGGTACTGGAGCTGCTGGAGGTGCTCGACCTGCTGAGGGTCCTGGAGCTACTGACGGTGCTGGAGCTGCTGGAGGTGCTGGAGCTGCTGGTGCTGGTGGCACTGCTCAGCAGCGCCTGTTCTTCGCTCCGCCGTCTCCGTCGTCTCAGCCACCACCTGACTCTGCACTTCGCCAGGTTCTCAGTCTTCCCTCGTCTACTGGTCTTCCGTTACAGCCTGGCTCACCGCTGCCTGCTCCTTCTCCGTACACAGAGCAGACTAGGGGCCTTGCTGAGCGTCGTGAGCCTGCGTCGCGTCCTGTCTCCCCTGTCCGTTCTGGTCGTTCCGGTCGTCGTGTTCCTCGTCAGCGGCAGCCAGCTGTCTCCGGCTCTCACCTTGTAGTTCGTCGTCCTTCCTCTCCTCCGCTGCGTGTTCCTCTGCCGTCTCCCCCTACGTCCTCTCTGCCTGTCATTGCTGACCCTGCGTCTGACCAGGTTCGTGCTGAGCACTCTACTGTCACGCGTCTGCTTGCCACTGTTGTCACTGACCCGTCGTTTGAGTCTGCTGCTGCGTCTGCCTTAGTCGCTGAGCTTGTTGACTTTGCTGCTGCCTGTCGTCTCGACTACGCTGCCAGTCTTGTTGCTGAGTCTGAGTCTGTCTGTCCTCCGTCCGTCGGGGGTGAGTGTGCTCTTGGCACGGACGTCCTTGAGGATAGACAGGAGGACCTTGAGTGTCTTGCAGCCGCTGCGCCTCATCTCGTATCCATGCTGCTTGCCCCTGAGGGAGACCCGGATGCACCAGACATCCCTACCCCGCGCTCTTACGCTGAGGCGATCGCGGGTGAGTACTCCTCTCAGTGGCAGACAGCCATGGACGCAGAGATGGCATCCTGGAAGTCCACAGGCACCTACGTCGACGAGGTTCCCCCTCCTGGGGCGAACATTGTCAGTGGCATGTGGATTTTCAGGGTGAAGCGGCCGCCAGGTTCTCCGCCTGTCTTCAAGGCTCGGTACGTGGCTCGAGGCTTCAGTCAGCGAGAGGGAGTTGACTTCTTCCAGACCTTCTCCCCCACCCCGAAGATGACCACTCTTCGGGTGCTGCTGCACGTTGCTGCTCAGCGTGACTACGAGCTTCACTCTCTTGACTTCAGCACAGCCTTCTTACAGGGCAGCCTGCACGAGGAGATTTGGCTGCGCCGCCCTCCTGGCTTCACTGGGTCGTTCCCTCCTGGTACCCAGTGGAGCCTCCGGCGGCCGGTCTACGGTCTCCGCCAGGCGCCACGTGAGTGGCACGACACACTGAGGACGACACTTGCGGCTCTTGGGTTTGCTCCGTCGACTGCTGACCCGTCGCTGTTTTTGTGCACCGACACTTCTCTGCCGCCGTTCTACGTTCTCGTGTACGTCGACGACTTGGTCTTTGCCACTGCTGACACTGAGGCTCTCGCCCTGGTGAAGTCGGAGCTGCAGAAGAGACACACGTGCACAGACCTGGGTGAACTGCGCAGCTACCTTGGCTTGCAGATCACCCGGGACAGAGCACGCCACACCATCACACTGACTCAGTCACACATGGTGCAGCAGGTCCTTCAGCGCTTCGGTTTCACCTGGTCCTCAGCACAGGCCACTCCTCTGGCTACAGGTCACTCGCTCTCAGCTCCACCTTCGGACGAGTCCGTAGAGTCGAGTGGTCCTTACCCAGAGTTAGTGGGCTGCCTCATGTACCTGATGACTTGCACTCGTCCTGACCTTGCGTACCCTCTTGGCCTTGTGGCTCGCTACGTGGCTCCTGGTCGGCACCGAAAGGTGCACATGGATGCTGCCAAGAGGGTACTACGCTACTTGTGCAGTACATCGGGCATGGGGCTCGTGCTTGGAGGACGGGGTGACGTTGTCCTCACAGGTCACTCGGACGCCTCTTGGGTTGATGACCAGGCTACGCAGCGGTCGTCACAGGGTTACACCTTCAGCCTTGGTTCTGGTTCAGTTTCCTGGCGTTCTACACGTTCGTCTTCAGTTCTCGGCTCCAGCTGTGAGGCAGAGATCTACGCCACAGCCATGGCTGCACAGGAGCTGCGCTGGCTCACCTACCTGCTGACCGACTTGGGAGGGAGGCCTCGTTCTCCTCCAGTTCTGTACGTCGACAACAAGGCCGCCATTGCCTTGTGTCAGGAGCACAGACTGGAGCACAGAACAAAGCACATCGCTCTCCGTTACTTTCTTGCTCGAGAGCTGCAGCAGCGTGGCCAGCTTCGTCTTACCTACGTGGCCACTCGGGCCAACACTGCTGATATATTCACCAAGGCGCTTCCGCCTGGTGATCATCAGCGTTTCTGCACTTTGTTAGGCCTTGTGCCCACTCTTCCTCACTTGCTGTAGGCATTGTTTGTACCATGATTTATATGTATTCCTGCATGCTTGATCTTGTAGGTAGATATCACTGTACTGTTGTTGTTACATATATATTTCTGCATGTGAACTGGCCTTGTGGCCTTCTTGCTTGTGCTCAGACTGCGTGGTGACGTTGTGATCCACCCTGAGCTTGCTTTGCACTTCCTGACTGGTCTTGTGACCCTCTGTTCTCCCCCACTTTGCCTATGGGGGTGTATCAAACATGTGTATATTTGTTATAATTTGGTTAGGCTTAGTGGGGTACTCACTGTGGGGTACAACCCCTTGGGTTTCTCCTTTGTATCTTTTCCCTTCGATAGTCGACACACAACTTTCCCGTAAGATTATGACAATATTTGATCACACATAATTGTCGCCCTGGTCGTACAATGTCGCGGTACATTGGTCGATTGGGACATGAGGACTCGAGACATTTGAGGGCGACTCGGGCCAAAATCGATTGGGACACTTTCTTTGAGAAAGTGTCCAGCGCGGAATGTACCCTTAAAATAATTAATATTTCTGGAATTTATGACCATTCTAGTGCTCCTTTAGGCAAATGCTGTTTAGCAAATGCTGTGTGCATACAAGTGTTGTATATGCTTCTGCATTACAGATGGTAGTGGACTTGAATAGATGCAATGAAGTATGTATATTGGCAGTGATTAAGAACGAAATATTTAAGCACTACCCTAAGGAACGGAAAACTGGTAATTTACTTATTGTGGAAGACACAAGCCTGAAGATTGTAAGATACGATAGAAGTGAGGGTAAGCAGCAACCGCTTAGAAATACGCTTCTGATGGGGGAGGTGTGTGGTATGCCTTGTGCATGAGCTGCTTTGTCTTCTCAAGAACTCCAAAGAAGATTGACCCTCCGATACCGATCCACATAACTCTGGGGCCAACACCCTGTAGGTTGGGAGAAAGGTATGCGTTGGGTGAAATGCTTGTGCTGGATGGGAAGTGCGACTACATAATCAGAGGTGTAAAGTAGGAGGCGCAAGCGGATCTGGTGAAACATGATGAGCATGCATTCTTGCTCCCTCAGAACTACCTTGAAAAGAGCGCCAGCTCCATCTTGTGCGGCTGTCTTCTGAATGCAGTCAATGATGCCCTTGTATTGGCCAGATGTCCCCTGCATTGATATTGCGTGCATGTGTCAGGTGGGAGAGGGAGTTTGATGAGTGATTTGCTGTTTCTCACACGACCCTCTCCATTGAAATTGCTGAACCTTGCACGAACAGTAGAAATTACATAACGCAGCATGACACACCTGGGTCATGAGCCGAGTCTTGATGACATCAAGGGGAGTGGTGACAGCGCCTGTGATGGCACCTGAGATTGCCCCCACCACTGCCATCTCTGGATCCTTAAGGTCCCGCTTCAGCTGAATATATTTCACCAACAAAAACGTGCAGCAACAAAACAGTGAATGGAGGCAAAAAAAAAAAAAAAAAAAAAACATTAATGTCACAAAGACTGCAGGTAAAAGAAAATCACACATACAGCACGGGGCTTGCGGATTGGAGGGAACAAAGGAAGTTATAGTGAGGACAGACCAGGATATCACAGATGCAAAAAAACAGCATAACTATTAAGTATTTCGCAACGATCCCAGCTTTGTGGCGGGCAACTAGAAGCCTGTGAATGGGAGTTGAGAGATGGAGCTCACCGTTTTCTTGAGTTGGATCTTAAGCTGCTCGTAGATGGCAAACTGGATGGCATCAAATGGCAGGTCTCGCAGAAGGAAGGAGCCATAACCCTGTGGCATCAGCACATTTGTAGCAAGTTTTATAAGGAAATATGTAACACAAGATGTTTCAAGCAGAGGACAGATTGTACAATCCAAATGGTGCACAGGCAAGTGTATGTAACTCTTATGGGGACGTGTCAGACAGAGCAAACAAGAAAGACAGCATTTCAGCCAGAATACATGAGAAAGGAACATACCGTAAAGGGAAAGGAATGTAAGTGGAACATGCTGCTGAGGGAATGTAGCGCATATAAGAGTGAACGCACCGTATAAAAGAAGGAACGTACCGCATGGAAGAGCTAACGTGCCACATAAAGAAAGGAACGTACCGTAAAGGGAAAGGAATGAAAGTGGAACGTGCTGCTGAGGGAATGTAGCGCATATAAGAGTGAACGCACCGTATAAAAGAAGGAACGTACTGCATGGAAGAGCTAACGTGCCAGATAAAGAAAGGAACGTACCGCATAGAGCCCCCTGAATCCCTCCTTTGAGAGAATGGTCTTGACAGCGTTGACTGCAGTGGGGAACTGCCCCGTCTGCATGCGCTGCTTCACCACCTGGTGGTGGTTGGCGCGCGGACAGGGTATGGGAGATCATGCTTTGGTGGAAAGAGAGAGAAGCAGCTTGAGTGATGTCGCGCAGCTCCCAGACTGCATCATTATTGACTATCATGGCGCAGCATCGACTAGAATGTACGTGCATGGCAGATCATCATTAAATAAGATGGATGTGCATGGGAGATCATGATAGACTACCATGGATGTGCATGCATATGATGGATCAACAGGAATGTCCATGGCGCATCATCATCATGGACTGTCATGGATGTGCATGGGGCATCACGTCATCATCATGGATGCACACGGCGCACCATTGTAGACCACATCAGTGGTCACACAACACATTGCCACGGATGGCCTACCTCAGTGGGCACAACACATTGCCACGGATGGCCTACCTCAGTGGGCACAACACATTGCCACGGATGGCCTACCTCAGTGGGCACAACACATTGCCACGGATGGCCTACCTCAGTGGGCACAACACATTGCCACGGATGGCCTACCTCAGTGGGCACAACACATTGCCACGGATGGCCTACCTCAGTGGGCACAACACATTGCCACGGATGGCCTACCTCAGTGGGCACAACACATTGCCACGGATGGCCTACCTCAGTGGGCACAACACATTGCCACGGATGGCCTACCTCAGTGGGCACAACACATTGCCACGGATGGCCTACCTCAGTGGGCACAACACATTGCCACGGATGGCCTACCTCAGTGGGCACAACACATTGCCACGGATGGCCTACCTCAGTGGGCACAACACATTGCCACGGATGGCCTACCTCAGTGGGCACAACACATTGCCATGGATGGCCTACCTCAGTGGGCACAACACATTGCCATGGATGGCCTACCTCAGTGGGCACAACACATTGCCATGGATGGCCTACCTCAGTGGGCACTCGAACGAGAGAAGCTGCGGTGCCTCCCGCTGCTCCTGCTGCCTGGATGGGGGGGAACAGGGCCAGGAATAACCGAAAGGATCTTTTATGTAACAATAGACATGAGCAACGGGCGAACACCGAATATGTTCGGTTCGCCCGCACGAACATGTGATAAAAACGAACCGAACATGTTCGGTTCGCCCGAACATGTTTTGGGGATTTGGGGTGTTCGAGGTTCGTGATAGGGGGGCGAACACTGCATGTTCGGGGCGAACCCGAACATGTTCGAGGTTCGAGAGTGTGTTTTCAGGGGCCCAACTCCTCCCCCGGCGCCTCCCCCCTCCCCTTCCGAACATTGAACATGTTCGGCCGAACAGTTTTTGCCAAAGATGTTCGGTTCGGTTTGGTCACAAACATGTTCGGACGAACCGAACAGGCGTTCGCGTTTTTGCTCATGTCTAGGTAACAACATAGACATACAACGAAGCATATAGATATGGCAACGCATTCTTTCATAGATGAAGAAATGAATAAAACGCACAATGAAATCCTGGGTCAGGAAGTGAGATTGAGAAGTGAACAGGAGTGGAAGTGGGAGGCACGGCGGCTAGGTCTCACCAGGTGAGCGGCAACGCTGATGTTCTCAGGAAGGGCGTTCAGGAGGTAGGCCTTGACCGGCTCGTACACGCCTATGAATATGGCTGACGCCCTGCAGGATGGAACGGCGGCCGAATAGAGGTGGGGGGGTGTGGGGGGGTTGAGGGGAGAGGGGGGAAAGGGTGAGGGGGAGAGGGAGGGGCGGGGAATGGCCGGCTCGTACATGCCTATGAATGTGGCTGGCGCCCTGCAGGACGGAACGGGCGGGTGGGGGGAGACGCGGAATGACCAGCTCGTACATGCCTATGAATATTGCTGATGCTCTGCAGGGACGTGGAAATGGGAGTGGAAAGGCGAGTTGCAGAGTGGGGTTCAGATGATGACTGAACATCATGGATCATGACCGATGTGGCTCGTCACATGTGCATCCTGGCTGACGTAACTTGTGGGTCATGTGGATAATGGCTGGTGTTACAGATTGTGGCTTATGAGAAGTACGCTTGATGTTGCCATAAGTAAAGGATAAATTGGGGGATCAGGAAACAAGGATGTTTAGGGTATTCTTGGCTCGGCGTTGTGTTTCAATGGCACATGAAGTGGAAGGTTGGAACTTGCTCATGATATTAAGAGTGGGAGTGGGGTAGGCAAAATTGAGAGCAGGGGAGTGGGAGGGAGAAGGAGGGTGAGAGGCAGAGAGAGAGAGAGAGAGAGAGAGAGAGAGAGAGAGAGAGAGGGAGGGAGAGAGTGAAACAGAGGAGGAGGAGGAGGAGGAGGAGGAGGAGGAGGAGGAGGAGGAGGAGGAGGAGGAGGAGGAGGAGGAGGAGCAGGAGGAGGAGGAGGAGGAGGAGGAGGAGGAGGAGGAGGAGGAGGAGGAGGAGGAGGAGGAGGAGGAGAGGATGTTAAAAGAAAGGAAGACCAGGTAAGGAAGCGGAGGAAAGGAAGACCAGGAAAGGAAGAGGAGGAAGGGCAGCAGGGAAGGTGAGAAACGAGGCAAGGGTGGATGGAAGGGCAGCTCACGGCAGCACACCAACGAGGTTGCCAGAGAGACCCGAGTAGAGCCCCTTGAAGTTGATGCCGCCTCCCGAGGTGGCCACCTGGGGACGGATGACAGACAGAGGGGGCACGCGTGGAGGGACTCTTGAGTCATCTAAAAGAGTGCCTGCCAACTAAATGTCAAACGTATCGACTCGAAGCGTTAACTCAAATCTAAAAGGTGTCGACTCAAAAGTCCAACGAGGTTATCAGAGAGGCCAGAGTAGAGGCCCTTCATTGGCTGGCTGATGGCGGAAGCTGGGCGGTTGTAAGCAGCATGACGCATTTCGAGTGCACCATTGAGGAGGACACATCACCCTTAGGCTAGCCATTCTAGTCTTTTTTTCAAGTGGTGCTTCTTTACTGTGCGTTCAAGCGTGGTACATACCCAGAGAGTTTCAACGATATTATATTAGCTAACGCAAAGCACTCGCAAGCTCCCTTCGCAATTTGATTCAATTGGCGTGGCTCGCATACCTGCAGGCGAGTCTTGATGGTGTCAATCGGGTACAGAGCTGTCTCTACCGTCACTCCCGCTGCTCCTCCTGCCACCGCTCCCTCTGTTCGGAACAAGAAGGGAAGGGAAGGGAAGAAGAAGGTGCTGTGAAGGTAATACCATAGGCGGCTGAAGACATAGTACAGGGCAATCTCCACCGTAGCACCGGTTGCTTGCTCCTCCTGTCACTGCTCCCTCTGCTAGGGACGAAAAGGGGGAAATGCTGTGCTGGAAAAGCTTTACAGTAGGCGTATTGAAATGTACAAACCTGCTGCTCCTCCTGCCACAGTTCTCCCAGCTAGGGATGAGCAGTGGGGGAAAGGGGGACAGGAAGGCGCGATGGCATGAGCATCCCCTAATCTGTCTCAACATAGCCCAGGGACTAGTAACTTGAGAAAACGCACCCCCGCATCTTAGGTTTTCCATCATCAGGCCGAGAACATCAAGAACGGAAGACTGTACCTAGGATGATCTGGGGCCAGCTCTTCTTCTTCTCCTCGACCTTCGGCTTCTTCCCTCCACAGCAGGTCTTCTTCTCGCCTGTAGCAGCTGTAGCAGGGGTCGCTGTAGCGGGTGTGGCTGTAGCGGCGGCTGACGAAACCAGCACCAGTCCGGCGAATCTGCGTGCGCCACGTCGCCGACGCTTACCGCCCTGCTCGTCCTGATTTGAGGCGACGCAGAGACCCGCGAAACCCGCCACTCGGGAGCCAATGGATAAGCTGGCCTGAAATCAAGGCAGGTGAAAGGGCTTCTGTCATTGGCGGAAGAATGAGAATACGAGAACAGAGTGAGCTTGATACAAAAATCTTCACAAAAAAGGGATGGTCTGATCAATGCCAGTAAGCAACACGTAAAAAGGATTAAGCGCCGGAGAAGCACAGTCAAATGTAAGAGGAAACTCAGCGAAATAAATCAGGCAAGCGATTGAGGCCATGGCCAAAGATGCGGAGCTTTGATCGGCTTACCACACGGCTCATCCTGCGAAATGAACAGAAGAGAGCAGACGAGGAAGCAGAGAAAGAACAACGAACGAAGTATGAACGAGGCGAAACAAATGAAGAGGTAAGAACTTGCAAAATTAGGACCATCTTGTACAAAAGCAGCCGCATCCTATCAATGCTGCACGATACATACGACGGTCCTTTCAAGGACGATTGACAGCATTAGTGGTTGTTAGAGGTAATTTTTAGTCCATCACAAGCGCCAAAACCCACGCATAACCGACATTGTAGTCTTAATTAAGCGTCATCCGATGTGTCTGCTGTTTAGCACCATCAATTTAGAATGTCGCTCACTGTCAAACTTTCTTACCAGGCAGCACCGCCGGAAAAATCCAGAGAGCCCATTTGAGTGGTCTAAGGAGGTAACTCTTGAAGGAGTTAAAGTAAAGCAGGTGAATGCTTGTAAACAATGATTCCACTGATTAATGGCTAGTAATCACCCACAAAGCCTCTCGAGTCCTCAAACGTCAGCAAGTGACCAAGGACTTGAACCTAGATATTAGAGTCTAATGAGTGGCGACTGAAGATCACAAATCGAAGACAAGACCAGACCAGACTAGCAGGAATCAGTAATCAAGTGGTGTGGAAAGGTGGATAGCAGTGGGTGCAGGCAGATCCACACAAGCAGCGATCCCAAACCTCCAGCACAAACCTCCGCGCGTGTTGTTATTGGTCCACGTGGCCTTCGCACCGCCTGCGGTTGATGTTCTTATGACATCTCGACTGTTCGGTTTGGAACCAGGTTAGGTAAAATGATGATCCAAGCCTGTGTTCGTTTGGGCCTTGTCCAACAGCAGGTACTCTCATCTCGCAAGAAAGCCAGCAGGTACTGTGAATGTAGCCAGTCAGACTGTAGTTAATGTACAACTTCCACTACATGGCATTCTATACAAAGATACACAAATGTACACAACCTTCCTAACTTGCCATTAAAGCAGAAAACAGGAGCAGTTGGATCATACTCTTGCTGCCCGGCAGTGCCAGTGCGTCCAGTCTCGACAGGACGCTCTGCCGTGGGCTCACTTGATCCTGTGAATGCCTTCTTGATCGTCCCAAAGATACCAACACCACCACCTCCTGTCCCTGCTGCACCACTCTCAGCACCATAACCTGTGCCAGCACCACCCTCGTGACCATAACCCGTGCCAGCACCACTTTCGTGACCATACCCTGTGCCAGCACCAGTACCATAACCAGTGCCAGTACCAGTTCCCCTCTCCTGAGTGGCACCCTGACCATAGCCAGTTCCCGTACCCATGCCAGTGCCGGTGCCAGCATGGCGCTCTCTGGTCACAGCTTCCTTGGCTTTACCCATCATGCCTTCGGTGCCATGCTCCTGAGTCGCGCCATAACCAGTGACAGTCCCACGCTCGCCATGAGTACCACCATAGCCAGTGCCAGTCTGGCCATACCCAGTGCCAGTCTGGCCATACCCAGTGCCAGTCTGGCCATACCCAGTGCCAGTCTGGCCATACCCAGTGCCAGTCTGGCCATACCCAGTGCCAGTCTGGCCATAGCCAGTGCCAGTCTGGCCATACCCAGTGCCAGTCTCAGTGCCAGCACCATAACCAGTACCAGGGCCAGGATGGCGCTCACCAGCAGTACCCCCTCCAGCCACAGCGTGCTTCACCTTCCCCATGACGCCTTCACCTCCAGTCCCACGCTCGCGCTCATGGCTCACACCATAACCAGTGCCAGTCTCACCATAGCCAGTGCCAGTGTGGCCATATCCTGTGCCAGTGTCAGCATGGAGTTCAGCAGAGGGCTTTCCAGTCACAGCATGCTTCACCTTTCCCATGACCCCTTCGCCTCCAGTCCCACGCTCGCCGTGAGTGGCACCATAGCCAGCGCCAGTCTCACCATAACCGGTGCCAGATTCGCCGTATCCTGTGCCAGTCTCAGCATGGCGCTCAGCAGAGGGCTTTCCCGTCACAGCGTGCTTGACCTTGCCCATCATACCTTCGCCTCCAGTCCCACGCTCCTGGCTGGCACCATAGCCAGTGCCAGTCTCACCATAGCCAGTGCCACTCTCTCCATATCCCGTGCCCCTCTCAGCATGGCGCTCAGCAGAAGGCTTTCCAGTCAAAGCGTGCTTCACCTTACCCATCACGCCCTCGCCGCCAGTCCCACGCTCCTGGCTCGCACCATAGCCAGTGCCAGTGCCAGTCTCCCCGAAACCAGTCCCCGTGCCATGCTCGTGCGTTCCCAGGCCAGTGCCACGCTCACGCTCGTGGCTTGCACCGTAAGCGCCAGCACCAGCAGCGCCAGCGGCACCTACGTCTGCAGCAGTTGCTCCGGCAGCACCTGGCGTCACCTCGTGCTGAGCCGTTCCCTTCTCCGCCTCCTTCTCCACCTTGGAGGCATGCACCTTGTGAAGTGCCTCTGCAGGAAAACCAGTGAAAAAGGTAACAGAGTACAATAGATAGAACGTGAGAAATATATAAAAAACAGATGTATCATAAAACATCAATACATCAGAAATGAGAATGAAAGAAGGGGATGAATACAGACCTTCAGTGACCTCCTGGCGTCGCTCGTGGGCGATCTCCTTCCTCTCCAGCTTCTCCCGCGTTGCTTCCAGCTTCCTCTCAAACGACTCATCACGAGCCTCCAAATTCTTCTCCCTGCCACGCACGAATCAAATCCTCGAAGTCCGAGAAAATCTCAAAATGAAAGCAAATCAGCTAAATAGCCGAGAAAGAAATTACCCAAACAAAAAAAAGGCATTTAACATTCAGTCACCTGTTCATGGGGTGCTTGAGCTTCTCGAAGGTCTGCTTCATGTCCGCTTTGGCATACTCCATGGACTCCTTAAGCCCCGCCTTGGCTCCCTCCACCTTCTCCTTCGTGCCTTCCTTCACCTCCTGCATCATGCCCTTCATTCACGATCGGGGTCAAACGGCGACTGCTGTTCACACACAGTCTCACGAGCCCGCACTTCGCGGCAGCAGCTCACGGCGAGTACAACAACTCCCGCGAGCAGGCCTATGCTTGGGACAGCGCAGCAGCTCGAATGACGCGAAGTCGGAATCGGATGCTCGGAAGCAATAACACCACCACCAGCACCTAATGAAGAAATAGGCGAGAGCGAAACGGGTACTGAGAGCATTCGAACCCAGGGCGGGAGGTTTGAAGCGGAGGCGAAAATAGGCGATGCTGGAAACTCCATGATAGCGGGTCGGAGACTGCTCTGGCTGTCCAGCTCCTGACTCGCTTGCACGGCACCACTTGCTGACACGTGGCGGGCGTTGATCACCATGCAGGAAACTAATGAAAGAGGCCTCACTGCTGGGGAACAAAAACTAAGGCTTCCCATCGACTTCCCTAAAGACAGACCTTCAGAAAATTACCGTGCATTAGGTAAGTGTACACTTCCCAGCATTCCGCACTCTTATCTATATCGTGCATCTTATTAAGCTGGGTTTAATTGAAAGTTAGATTGTGTACCGTATTTATTATCAGAACAAATGCACCATCTAATGTCATACAGTCTACAGAACTAGTACCACAGGCCTAAAATTTAGCATCTAACCCAGCTTCGCCTATGAAAGCTTTCTAGATTTGTGCCTACGGGCACACGAGTACTAGCGTCGCTCAGCAGGCACTAGGTGTTGACAAATTAGTTGAGTTTCCCTAGATCAATTTTCTTTTTTATGGCACGCTGACTATGGTAGATGAAAGCATCAACCATGCCTGTAACAGTGAAGATGCCTGCACAGCAGGGAGAAAACAAAGCGAGGAGAGGGGGAGGAGGGGGGGGTGGGGGGGGGGGGGGGGGGAGGGAGGGAGGGGGGAAGGGAGGGGAAGGAAAGGGGGCTTAGTGAAATGTATCACATTCCTAATGAAAACGCGGCGAAACGCGGGCAGAAGAACATCTGAAACAGGCGTAGTGCAAACAAAGGCTCTTGTACCCACCTCCCACGATGGCACACACGTTGGTGAGGAAGTGGAGGAAGGAGGTGTAGCGTTCGGAATATTGCACCTGTTGGTTTGGGTCCAAGGCACAGCAGGTACAGAACAGGAGAACACATGCATACAGCACAAGGTAAGAGCACATCCAGGCCGTGGGAACGGGAGGGAGCAGAGCAGGAAGATTAGCATGATGTTGCGGCAGAAGATGAGAGCATCGACAGGTGCAGAGTGCAGGGTATAGTAGGGCTGATGTGTCATCCTAGAGGTGGGGCGTGATGTCAGCAGGAGCAAGGTAGCAGCGAAGCAGCACTCCAGAACTCCAGCAGCAGCGCAAAGCAGAGACGCGAAGAGCTGAGCAGCTAAGGGTGCAATTCCCTTGATCGGAGAGAGGTTGTACTTTTGAAACATGTCAAAATAAAAAGGGCACTCGCCTTGATGGGAGAGAGGTTGTACTTTTGAAAGTCAAAAGCCACACCACTCGCCTTCATGGGAGAGAGGTCGTAGTCGTACCTTTGATATGTCTTAAAAGAAAAAAGGGGCACTCGCCTTGATGGGAGAGAGGTCGTAGAAGAAGAAGACTCCTGGCAGCGATTGCTGGTCATGCGACGGTGCTGGCCGGAAATGCTCCGTCACTGAAAACTGCAGGAGAGAAGAGGGGGTGTGGCGCGAGGCGGAATAGGGGGGGCTTTTGAGTTACCGGTCATGCGATGATGATGCTGGTCGGAAATGCTTCGTCACTGAAAACTGCGGGAGGAAGCAAGGTGTGGCAAGAGGGGGATAGCGGGGACATTTGGCGCCTCAAAAGATTGAAGATCATGTGATGCTGACGGAAATGCTCTGTCACTGAGAACTGCGGACGGAAGGGAGTTGTGGCGATAGGGGGGTAGCGGAGAGGGAAGAGTGGGGAGGGGGGAGGGGGAAGGACAAGAGAAAGTGGGAGCAGAAAGGTGGGAGAGAGCAGAAAGATGCAGAGCGATGGAGGCAGACATATATATACATATAAACACACACACACACACACACACACACACACACACACACACACACACACACACACACACATATAATATGATAATAAAACAAGCATGTAACACTTGCACAACCAATGCCCTTACCTGGTTGGAGGCGATGGTGTGGTTGTGGGAGTCAGTGTACATGGTGGGTACGACCTTGATGAAGTACTGATACATGCCTGACTCGCCCTCCTGCACCCACTGCGCCCTGTTTGAAGCAGTGCGAGCGGGATGGTGTGGGTGGGAGATGGGAGGGGAATGGGAGGGGGTGCTTGAGGCGGGGAAAGGGAGTCGGTGTACATGGTGTGGTGGGTACGACCTTGACGAAGTACTGGTACATGCCTGACTCGCCCTCCTCCACCCACTGTGCCCCTGGAAAAGGAGTATGGAAGGGGAATGGGGCGGGTTATGAGCTGCCTGGAAAAGGAGTATGGAAGGGGAATGGGGCGGGTTATGAGCTGCCTGGAAAAGGAGTATGGAAGGGGAATGGGGCGGGTTATGAGCTGCCTGGAAAAGGAGTATGGAAGGGGAATAGGGCGGGTTATGAGCTGCCTGGAAAAGGAGTATGGAAGGGGAATAGGGCGGGTTATGAGCTGCCTGGAAAAGGAGTATGGAAGGGGAAAAGGGCGGGTTATGAGCTGCCTGGAAAAGGAGTATGGAAGGGGAATGGGGCGGGTTATGAGCTGCCTGGAAAAGGAGTATGGAAGGGGAATAGGGCGGGTTATGAGCTGCCTGGAAAAGGAGTATGGAAGGGGAATAGGGCGGGTTATGAGCTGCCTGGAAAAGGAGTATGGAAGGGGAATAGGGCGGGTTATGAGCTGCCTGGAAAAGGAGTATGGAAGGGGAATGGGGCGGGTTATGAGCTGCCTGGAAAAGGAGTATGGAAGGGGAATGGGGCGGGTTATGAGCTGCCTGGAAAAGGAGTATGGAAGGGGAATAGGGCGGGTTATGAGCTGCCTGGAAAAGGAGTATGGAAGGGGAATGGGGCGGGTTATGAGCTGCCTGGAAAAGGAGTATGGAAGGGGAATGGGGCGGGTTATGAGCTGCCTGGAAAAGGAGTATGGAAGGGGAATGGGGCGGGTTATGAGCTGCCTGGAAAAGGAGTATGGAAGGGGAATAGGGCGGGTTATGAGCTGCCTGGAAAAGGAGTATGGAAGGGGAATGGGGCGGGTTATGAGCTGCCTGGAAAAGGAGTATGGAAGGGGAATGGGGCGGGTTATGAGCTGCCTGGAAAAGGAGTATGGAAGGGGAATAGGGCGGGTTATGAGCTGCCTGGAAAAGGAGTATGGAAGGGGAATGGGGCGGGTTATGAGCTGCCTGGAAAAGGAGTATGGAAGGGGAATAGGGCGGGTTATGAGCTGCCTGGAAAAGGAGTATGGAAGGGGAATAGGGCGGGTTATGAGCTGCCTGGAAAAGGAGTATGGAAGGGGAATGGGGCGGGTTATGAGCTGCCTGGAAAAGGAGTATGGAAGGGGAATAGGGCGGGTTATGAGCTGCCTGGAAAAGGAGTATGGAAGGGGAATAGGGCGGGTTATGAGCTGCCTGGAAAAGGAGTATGGAAGGGGAATAGGGCGGGTTATGAGCTGCCTGGAAAAGGAGTATGGAAGGGGAATAGGGCGGGTTATGAGCTGCCTGGAAAAGGAGTATGGAAGGGGAATGGGGCGGGTTATGAGCTGCCTGGAAAAGGAGTATGGAAGGGGAATGGGGCGGGTTATGAGTTGCCTGGAAAAGGAGTATGGAAGGGGAATGGGGCGGGTTATGAGCTGCCTGGAAAAGGAGTATGGAAGGGGAATAGGGCGGGTTATGAGCTGCCTGGAAAAGGAGTATGGAAGGGGAATGGGGCGGGTTATGAGCTGCCTGGAAAAGGAGTATGGAAGGGGAATAGGGCGGGTTATTGTGAAAGTAGCAAATTGAACAAGTGATTAGATTAGAGGAACAACCTAGCATACATAGTTCGAAGGGAAGGTTGGAAGGGAAGGATGAAAGTGACCATAGGTTGGGTTGACCTCACTTGGGGAAGTGAGGGAACCATAGGTCAAGTGGGTTGGGTTGCCCACACTTTGTAGAAGTGAGGCAACCCTAGGCCCACTTGGCTTGGGGTAACCTCAATTGTGGGAAGTGAGGTACCCACAAGTCAAGAGGGTTGCATTTGGGGGCTCCACCACAATTGGGTGGATTGGCACCCCAAAGTGCAAGACTACACCCAAAGTTGGGTGTAGTCCCAACCCAACTGTACACCACAATTGGTGTACAGTCACATGTGTTGGCATGCTACACAATATATATTTTAACACAACCCCTTAGCATGCTAATACAAGAAGAGAACAACCCCTGAATCAAGGGGCGCCCGGGCGAGCAAGGCCAATGAGGCGGAGGAAGGCAGAGTGCGCGGGGCGAAGGAGGGCCTTAGTGAAGATGTCGGCCAAGTTGGCCTCGGTTGCAATCTTGCGAACGGCAATGAGGCCCTTCTGGACGAGCTCGCGAACGAAGAAGTAGCGGAGTTCGATGTGCTTGGAGCTGGCGTGATAGACGGGGTCCTGAGTGAGATGGATGGTGCTGGCGCTGTCGCACCAGAGAGTGGGGCACGTCTGGGGGGCGCCAAGCTCCGCAAGAAGGAAGCAGAGCCAGCGCGACTCCTGGGCGGCCATGGTGCCAGCGTAGAGCTCGGCTTCGCAGGTGGAGAGAGAGATGGCGGAGGAGCGGGTGGAGCGCCAGCTGATGAGGCCGCTGCCAAGGGTGAAGCCGTAGCCCTGGGAGGAGCGGCGGTCCGGCTGCGTGTCAGCCCATGAGGAGTCACTGAAGCCCGAGAGAAGGGGACGGGAAGGGCCGCCGAGGGTGAGGGCAAGGTCCCTGGTCCCGCGAAGGTAGCGGAGGACCCGCTTGGCAGCTTTCCAGTGCTCCTCAGAGTGACGACCGGTGCCGACAAAGCGAGCGAGCACGCTGATGGGGTAGGCGAGGTCGGGGCGGGTGCACATCATTGCGTACATCAAGGACCCAACGAGCTCGGCATAGGGGTGGGGGGAGGAGGTGGGGGAGGTGGGTGGAGCGAGTTGGTGACCGAAGGGGAGCGGGGTGGAAACAGGCTTGGCTTGCGCCATGTCGAACTTCTCCAAGACCTGGCCGATGTAATGGGACTGGGAGAGGGTGATTGTGCGAGCAGGGCGGTTGCGCGTGATGGTCATGCCGAGGTAGTGAGTGAGGGCGCCAAGGTCCTTGCACTTGAGCCGCTGCTGCAGGGACAGCTTCACCTGCTCCATGTCGGCCTTGGTGTCAGAGAGCAGGATCATGTCGTCGACATATACCAGAATGAAGAAGCGGCGGGGGGAGGAGCGGATGAAGAGGCTGGCGTCGGAGTGGGAAGCAGAGAAGCCGAGGGACCCCAAGGTGGCAGCCAGCTTCGCATGCCACTCACGCGGTGCCTGCTTCAAGCCGTAGACGGGGCGACGCAGCTGCCAGACAGTGTTCTCAGGAAAGGCTGCGTGGAACCCGGGGGGTCGCCGGAGGAAAATGCGCTCATGCAGGTCTCCCTGCAGGAACGCATTGGAGACGTCCATGGAGTCGATTTCCATGTCGTCACGTGCACCAATGTCCATGGCGGCGCGAAGGGTGGGTGGTTTGGCGGTGGGGGCGTAGGTGAACCAGTAGTCCTCGGCCCAAGTCTGCGTGAACCCCTTGGCGCAGTAGCGGGCCTTGTACACTGGTTCCTCGCCCGGCAGCTGCTTCACCCGAAAGACCCATTTGCCGTCAACGAGATTAGCGCCAGCAGGGAGGGGGACATCGACAAAGGAGTCGTTGCGAATGAAAGCCTCACACTCCAGGAAGATCGCTGCTATCCATTTATCCGCATCAGGGCAGGTGATGGCTTCCTGGAAGGTGGAGGGAGTGAAGATGGTGGGGGTAGTAGTGGCGCCAAGGACAGGAAAGCCCAGGAAGTCAAGGTAGAGGGCGGCAAGGAATGGAGTGTGCTCCCGAATGTTGAGGAACCCCTCATGGGAGTCCTCAAGGAGCTGAATGGAGGCAGGAGGAGGAGCCCCAAGGATTTTGTCCACCGAGCGGGTATGGATGTAAGGGAGGAGGAAGGGGGAGGAGCGGGAAGTGGCACGGCGCCGCTGCTGCTGCTGGTGCTGCTGCTGCTGATGCTGCTGCTGCTGTCCCGGCTGCTGCTGATGCGGCTGCCCCGGCTGCTGCTGCTGCTGCTGCTGCTCCGGCTGCTGCTGCTGCTCCGGCTGCTGCTGCTGCTGCTGCTGCTGCTGCTGCCCCGGCTGCTGCTGCTGCTGCCCCTGCTGCCGTTGCTGGTGTTGCTCCCGCTGCTGCTGCTGCTGCTGCTAGTGCTGCTGCTGCCCCTGCTGTTGCTGATCCGGCTGCTGCTGCTGCTGCTGCCCCTGCTGTTGCTGATCCGGCTGCTGGAAAGGAGGAGAATGAGAGGAGGAGGGAGAGGGGGGAGGGGGTGCAGCTGAGTGAGCGGGGGAGGCGGGTGCGGCAGGGTCGTAGACGTCGGCAGAGGAGGAAGGCGGGAGTGGGGCGGCGACAGGTGGGAGGAGAGGCGCTGGAGGGATAAGAGGCGGGAGGATGGTGTCGGTCCAAGCGAGGGGGCGAGTGGGAGGAGGGAGGGGGTCAGGAGGAGGGGTGGAGTAGTAGGGAGTGGACTCGTCGAAGACGACGTCAATGCTGCGGATGAGGCGATTGGTGGGAGGGTGGAGGAATAGGTAGCCTGGGGAATCACGATTGTGCCCAAGGTAGACGCACTCCAGAGCGCGAGGAGCGAGCTTGCCAGCAGCGCGGGAGCGGTCGGCCGGTGGAATGAGGACGAACGCCTTGCAGCCCCAAACACGAAGGCCTGCGGCGTCAGGCTTGGCCTTGGACCAGAGTTCTGTGGGGGAGGAGGAGGGATGCTGAGGGTGGGAGCGGAGATTGAGGAGGAGGGCGACATGAATGAGGGCATAGCTCCAGAGGGAGGGAGGGGTGGAGGCGTGAGCAATGAGGCAGCGCACAATCTTGGTGATCTCACGGATGCGACTCTCAGCGATGCCGTTTTGCTGAGGGGAGTGGGGAAGGGTGGTGGTCTGCTGAATGCCGTATGTTTTGCAGTAAGTGGAGAGAGTATGATTGATGAACTCACCCCCACCGTCAGAGTGAAGGCGGCCTATGGGACGTTTGAAGTGGTTGCGGCACTGCTCAGCCCAGTTGATGACCACAGCCGGCACCTGG